ATATAAACGTAACCAAGCTGCGATCAGGCGTTCTTTTTTAACAGCAGGGGGAAGGAGAATAAAAGAACGCTAGATCGCAGGTTAATATAAACGGGCCTTAAATTACACAAAAAATCTCATGAACTTGTGAATGGAGGAGCAACCTCTAAGGACTACTACGCAACTAATGGCGAGCATTCTGATATATTTATTTGCCAGTCACATGCTTGAACATATGCTCATATATTTGGTAGGCTACAAAATTCACCACCTGCTGACTTGTCGTAGCTGGAAGTAAGCCCCTTTTCTACATTCCGCACGTAGTTTACCGGACTTAGCTTGCGCGCGCAAGTTGTAGCTCCTGATCAATGGTAGAGCTCCTGGACTTTGACTATTGCAACATTGTTTGGGGAAACTATGGGGTGACGTTACGAAATAAATTACAAAAACTAAAAAAATAGAGCAGCCCGTGTTTTGACCTATTCAAACTATGACGTAGATGTTGGTCACCTGTTCAAACTTCTCGAGTGGTAAAATCAAGAGAAAATTTTCTCTTGGTAAAATTTAACAAGTCAGCAGCAAATTCGAAGAGCTGCGATGGTTTATAAGTCTTTGCACGGGTTGGCTCCAGAATATCTAAGTTCTAAATTCGAGAGGCGAGAAACCGCATATAATCTAAGGGACTCTGAGAATAAACTAAATGTTCCATTCATGCCGCGCACAAACTATTATGAAAATAACTTTAGCTATAGTGGCGCCATTCTTTGCGACAGTCTTCAATTCCTTGTGACTGAAGGGAAGCAGTGTCCCTGAGGTAGTTTAAGCGCCTACTTGAAAGAGATGTATAAGGCACGGCATTCGTGGAAAGCAGCTTTATTATTTAATTACTTTTTTTACTATTAGTTATTAGAAGTTTTAGCTGACGAATTTTTAACCGTGTTTAAATAAAGATTATCTATCTGGTCTTTGCCAAGCGCGTGGTAGACCCTCAGATCTTTCAGTCCTACACATACGGTTACGCAGAACTTGTTGCAGACGCCGAGGGAATGGCTGAAGACTTACTCGCTTTGTAAATAGTTTTCCCTCACCTACTCACGTCAACGCACACGCAATGTTGGACAATGCCTACTTTTTTCTCCCTCGTATCCCCCAACGTAAATCGCACACACTAATCATTTCTGTATATATTTTCCCGGGCGCTGCGGTCACTAGGACTTCAAAGATTTTATGGGAGAAATACAATTTTTTTATCCACATTTACCTATGTCTTGGTGTGATTTTTAGGGTTAGGGTTATTATGCAAATCATTTAGGGTTAACTATGCACATTGCAAACTGATGACGTCAAATAATTTATGCGAAAATTGAGCTAGGCGCCATCTTGTTACCATATTTGGCATCATGACCTCAGCCCTTGGTCACTTGGTTCAAAATCCTGCAATCTGATTGGTCGAGAGCCTCATTTGTATACGCTAATGAGATGCAGATGTATTACTCTCCCAATAAGCGTGCACGCGCCTCTTGGCAAGGAACGTCGCCGGTTACTCCACCTGATCGTCTTTGGGAGGAAACATTCAAAGGCATCTGACTGGAATTCCCTGAGACCCCGTTCGATTTTTCGTAAACAGAAAAGGCAGCTCTACTATTTGGAACGACCAGCTTTACGAAAAATTGAAAGCTCATTTTGTCGGAGTCTGTGAAAGCCTTAATCTCCACAAGCGAAATATGGCTCGTTAGAGTTATTTCCATCAAGGAGACTTGCCCTGGTTCTGGATTATTGGTTCTCCAAAATTTAGCAGTTGGGTAAAGTTCGCGTGACTCTCTTTGATCACTCCCTTGTTTTCGTCAATGATGGTGTGATCAGCATACTTCAGGTCCAGATCAGTTTCTGTCGGCAAGTGCTGAAAGTCTTCACGACTGAAATGATTCTTGATAGAAACTGAGGTTTTATATGCGTTTTCTTTTCAGTCAGTCGAGTCAAGGCTCGGCAGGACTGGAGAGAGTGAAATGGCCAACAGTATATAGATTCACAAACCAACAAAATAAATAAGTAAGGAATTTGATCAGATTAAAATAAATGGGGTCGTGAGCAACCACGAGGACACCCTAACCATGTCAACCTAGCTGTTCAACCAACCTAGCTGGCTGGGAGGAGCAACAACATCCACGCCTGCAGACCGCAGACCGTGCAGACCATGCAGACTGAGCAGACTGAGTACTTTTTTTTTCTTATTCTTGTTTTTGCATTTACTTTTGACTCGCATATTTTTTGGTTC